TCCTGGATGCATTTAATGTTGCACATAGAACCTGTGTATTGGTTTATGTCAGCCAATGGACATTTTTTGTAGCAGATATTTTGACCTGGAATAGCAGGAAAGCACAGGTGTAACTGATAACATTTACAGTGAAATGCCAAAGTTATGTTCAAGGTAGTTTAGCAAAAGTGGTGTCATTACATATTGTGTCCACAAGAGAGCACTGACAAAATCTTTGACTGTGTCCCACAAAGAAAATATCTTGGTTAAAATTAAAAAGGTACCGTCATCCTCATCAAAATTTTCATTTTTATTTTAGGCTACCAGCTCTGTGACAACAGTGTTGGCGTGCTGTTCAATGATTACACACGGCTGATCATGTATGCTGATGGAGACAGTCTCCAGTACATCGACAAGACAGCAGCTGAATCCTACCTCAGCGTGCGCTCTTACCCTACTGCTCTCAACAAGAAGGTCAGTCTCCCACTTAAGAGTTACTTCTCAAGTCTTTGATTCAGTTTTGTAATTTGTAAGGATAATTTCTAAAGCCATGTCACATCGTCTCATCCATATTGTGGTACAGATTCTTATGTACTTGTTCTCTCCCGTTCTAGATAACGTTGCTAAAATATTTCCGCAATTACATGAGCGAACACCTGCTGAAGGCCGGCGCCAACATGGCACGGCGAGACGGAGACGAGCTGGCGCGGCTGCCTTACCTCTCCCTCTGGTTCAGAACAAAGAGCGCCATCGTCCTGCACCTCACCAACGGCACTGTTCAGATCAACTTCTTCCAGGTTGGACACGCCACATCTTCTCCCACTGATGTCTTTCTAATTGTCTTGTATTAGTACGTTCCCCCCCCACACACACACATCCTGACCCTATGTTCCATTAACCCGTCTCTGCCAGGACCACACTAAGCTGATCCTGTGTCCGCTGATGAGCGCGGTGACCTACATCGATGAGAAGCGAGAGTTCCGCACCTACAAGCTGTCTCTGCTGGAGGAGTTCGGCTGCAGTAAGGAGCTGGCCAGCCGCATCCGCTACGCCAAGCTAATGGTGGAGAAACTGCTGGACAGCAAGCCCACCGCCGCCGCACATTAGACCACCTCACACCACATCTTCAATCACTTCTCTGTCTTTAATCACCGGCCACCACTTCCTGTCTGCCAGCCTCTAAAGACGCAACAGACACTTAAAAATCTCATGTATTTTATTGAAGGGGTTCAGCATAATGATCTTATGACATCTTTGAGGTTCTACCATGAGAATTAACTAAATTTATTGTACATAACTGTGGTATTTCAGTCTTTCAGCCACTGATTTTAATCCTTTTTCCTGCTGTTCTGTTATCTTAACTTACTTGATGAATCCTGACACGTTCCTACTGTTGAAATTAAGATGGCTGCAGACAAGTTAACGTTCTGTATGTTTAAATGGAATTCAGAGGAAAAGATGAATGTTATATCTTCTTGTTTGCATTAATATATCAGTGGTGCTTTTAAATCTAAAGCCGAGCAGACAAACATGTGGTGAGGACTGAGAGAGACCGGCTTTGTGGATGGGGAAATCTTTTCTGGTGTGTTTTCTCTAAATGTGTCTGTCTTATCTGTGTTGTATGTGCAGAAATGTACCATGTTAATACATCTTCATCATGCACATTCTTCCTGTAGTTACTTTTTACACTTTTAAATAAGTCTATTTTAGATGTCTTGTCTTTTTCAACAAGATGTGCAAACATGTACATACTGCTGAATATGCTTATGTGTTGTAAAGATGGTTTAATTTTACCCAAGTTTAATAAAGATTTTTTTAAACTTTACAAGGTATTGTGGTTTAATGTTTCAGTCGCATTTGCTGTTTTTTGATCAGTTATTTGCATTTTCTGCAACAACAAGGCATAGGAAACAAAAGATGACCGAAAAAACCCTAACAGTGTTAAAAAATTAGAGCAACTACATTTCCATAACAGCTGGTAAAAGCCAGGAACACTCCAGAACAGATCCTGTGGTGAGATTGTTCTGTCTGGTTCCACATGTGTATTTTTGCTTCGTCTTGACCTGCTTAAATCTAATAATGCACATCTTATCCTCAGAAATTATTTGAATCTCCTATTGAGGAGATTATTGTTTGGTGTAAAGTAACTATTATACTGTCTTTAATAATGTCAGCTGACAGAAAGCTTAAGGGAACTCTGAATAAGGCTATAAACCCACCTGTGTGTCAAAGCTCTGAACAATGTAGAGCATCGGTGTGAAACATACGGCCCGGGGGACAGAACCGGCCTGCCAAAGGGTCCAATCTGGTCCACTGCACACCTAATATTGATGTACTTCTGAAGGCTAAGAGGTGTCAGGAGCAGGTTAAACAGTGAGCAGCTTTCTTCATGTAAAGTGCTGCTTCAGAGGCTCTTCCACCCTGAGCAGAACACAGTCCTCTGACAAACACTGAATACTTATTGGGGCCACATTTAAAGATATTGATCATTGTGCAAAACATCTCAGCAGCGTCAGTGTAAAATAATCTCTGTCAGACTCCTGTGTTAAAACAGTATTGGTTGAACCTTGTGGCTGAGGCACTGCCAGAACATTTGATTTGTAAATGCTTTGTAAGACAGGGGATAACTTAACCTGCCTCCTCAGTAGCTTCCACTTTAGTTTGGTGGGGTGACACCAGCATTTCCACACAGGAGTGGAAATGTACGGCAAAATGCACAGTAAGTATTAGACTGACTAAATGTGGAAAAACGGAGGCATATTGTTAAAACTGCACTTAATTTTCTTTAACAATCTCAGGCTGTTCATCATCTGTTTTGCAAATGGATGAACATTTTCCAAATGTACTTCCTTTACATTAAAAGGCAAGCATTTTGAGGAGTTGTTATTTGGTTATTTTAAAGTGGTTTTACTGGTCCAGCTCACTTGAAATCAAATTGGCCTGTATGTCATCCATGAACTAAAATGAGTTTTGACACCCTGAGAATGACAGTCTTTTAGCGCCTCCTGGTGGACACAAAGAACAATTACAGCTTCATTTACAGCAATTCATATTAAGTGTCATACATTTCTAGGGTGTTATTTTTCAGTTAACCCTCAAATGCAACCAATGTGACCAATACAGAGTGTATTGGTCACATTGGTTGCTATCCATGAAACCTCAGGGTTCATGGATAGCTTTTTCATAATTAGACTTATAACAAGTATATTTTGTCACTAATAAATTTATGACCTCAATCACACAGAAAAAACAACACTGATGCAGTGACACAGTCATTGTATGAATTTTGTGTCAAAGCAGTTCAAAATTATAGTATAGTTTAATCCACATAGACTGACGTTAGTAAAATAGAATCCACTTCCTTTTTTGAGTCAGTGCTGGCAGAGTAAATATTTGTCTGTAATCTTTGCCAAAACAAGAAAGTATATCCTGACTGTCTACCTTTTTAAATGGGAAATCAGTGCGTCTAAGATGGTCAGGAAAATAAAAGCAGACAGGAAATACAACAGAATTTGCATATGTTTAATGTAAATTATAAAAGAAAACTTTGGCAACACTTTTTTTAAAATATAAGAAATACAACAATGTATTCAAGACAGAACAGGAACGAACAGTCAAACAGCAGCAGTAACAGAACACAGTCAGTTTTGGGAACATAGTGGTCTAAAAAGTGAAAATCCACCTTCATGTAAACATTCCCACATGAAGAGGTTCAGTGTGTGTTACTCTAAAAACAGTGTAGAAAGGCTGCAGGACAACAAACACAATTTAGAAGCACTCCACTTTTAAAGATTCAGTCTCATTGAGGTTATTTTAGAACAGCAAATGACTTGTGGAATATGGATATTACAGTGACACTCCTGTACATGAAAGATGAATTTCGTCAAGCTGAAACGTCTTTAAGGGAAGTGACAAAAACCTTTTTGCAACGTGCTCAGGATCAAGTTGAGTTAACAAATGTGATAGTGAAGTATTTTAAAAGGTTAAAACCTTCATGTAAACTTTCTAACAGTGAAATATTTACTTGATAAAAGTAATCATAGAGTCTTTAAAATGACAGTTTGGATTTTTTGAAGTGGGGTTGTATAAGATCCACACTCAGTGTATTTCCTACAGTAGATGGCAGTCGGTGATTTTCAAGTTTGAAGAAGCAGGCAGGAGTACTGTCACGGAAGCTGAGCAATGTACTGCTGCGGATGGGGGAAACTGTAAATCACATTTTTAGTCTCCTAAAAAAGTCCAACCAAAAAATATCAATATCAAATACGTTGGGTTTGGATGAGTACCTCATACATCTCCACTTCCAAAACTATCCCTTAAATATTAGTGGCAGAGTGAAGTCTGACTCGTGCTGTAGCAGTGTAGAGAAACATCTCCGTTGTGATGACCAGTCACCAGAGTACCTCCTCCACCCCATCTAGCCAGCTGCCAGCCCTCGCTCTCAGGAGCCCACACCATCCTCGAGGCCCCCCTGCGCCCGAGCTCCCACACGCACACACTGCCACTCTGACTCAGGCCCACCACGCTGGAGCTGTTGACATCAGCTTCGCACAGCCTGCAGAGCACAGACGCAGATGTTACACGAGTGTATATATGCAGAGATGCAAAAAATACATCAGTCCTCATCTCACCTGCCAGACCAGGCTTTGGGCGGATACACCCGAGTAGCCAGGATAGATTTTCCACTTAGAGGGTTAAGGGCCACCAAGGAGAACAGGACGGTCTTCTTCCTTTCCTCTTCCTTCCCTTCGTCCAAAAACATCCGCTCTTTGGCTGTGGCTTCTTTTTCTTCTTCATTCAGGGAGCTCAGCAACTGGTGCTGCAGCAGGACGAATAGCACTCCCTGCGCACCGACATACACACAAAAACACATGGGAGTCAAATCATGAAGAGCGAGACAGTTATGGAGACACAGGCAATTTTACGAGAACTGTCAGTCCCCCTTACATGCAAAGAGGAGTATCCTCGCAGACAGGCTGTGTGTGATAACTCATCTCCGAGGATGATTCTCCGCAGCAGCTGTCCAGTCTTTAAATTCCTGCAACACAAATGATACATTCAACTGTAAACAGCTGATGCGCATGTGAGGGACAAATCTAGATGTTTCTCTGACACTTTCTAGAACCATTATTATTTTTTCATCAAAGAGGAAACATGGAGTGCTTAAGTTGACATATTCAACATTTAAAGTGTCAAATATTTGCGCCTCATGGTCCTTAAGGGATGTGGGCCCTGTTTTAATCAAACCTGGCTTAACTAATCCAGGCTAACATGCTGTTATCAGGCTAAAATGATCCTGTTAATTCCGTACAAACTTTTCTTTTGTTGTATATTTTACTGTTTTATCATTATTTAGTCCAGAGAAAACAATGGTATGCATTAAACCTCTGTAGGAGCAAAAAGCTAGATGTCATCAAATATTTTAAGACCTTTTGCTGTGAGGTTATTATCAGCATGGTGATGTGTTACAGTTTTGCTTACCAGATGAAGAGGCGTCCGCCCTCGTCAGAGCCGATCAGAGCATCTGAAAGTTCGTCCACAGGAGCGAGAGCCCCGACACAAACACCAGGAGACATGAGAGGCTGAGAGCTCTATGTGCTGAGAGAAATGAGACAGTGAGATATCGGACTGTGCCATGAAGAAATAACAGACAGAACAGAAACATTGCCAACTCTGTGTTACCTGCCGCTGTCTGACAGCGTAAACACCTGCAGGGTGGAACCAGAGGCCGAGTGGGAGGATGTAACCACTCTGGACTTGGACACACCAACGACAGCCTGGACGACATCCTTAGAGAGCAGCACTTGTGAGAGGCTGGAGCACGACAGGGTCCTGTGCACATGGACGACATGCATGTAGTTATGTGTAAGAGGCTTTTTAAACTTTAAAAGCCGGTTTCCATTGTCATGCCCATTGTTTCATTTTCATGTCTAATGAAAAATATCTTCAGTTTAGCACTTAAAAAAGTATTTCACTGCTGGAAAATGGCCGTTTCATAAAACTCGGCTGTGTATTCAGTAGAAAGACTACTATATATTTTGAAATTGCTACATGACCAGAGAAAAACAGCTGTGGCATTTGCTTTTGCTCAAGAGGTAGACAACCAACAACTACCAGACCAATTAGCGCTCCAGCTAGCGGGTGACATAATGTGAGTTCGTCAATTTTGAAACAACATGGCAGCCGGCTAGTAACAAACAATCTCAAATTACCGTTAAACAGTCTGCAATAATATGTTTTTGAAAACATTTGAGGCCAGATAGAGGCAACGCAAAAACAGAATCTTAGTTCATTTTTTATCAGCACTGCTTAGTTTTAATGTTTGATCAGTGTTTTTTAACCTCTATTTTCTTTTCTTTCTTTTTTTTTTTCAAAGATTTTTTTGGGGGCTTTTTAACCTTTAATGTATAGGACAGACAAGTGTGAAGAGGGGGGGAGAGAGAGAGAGGGAGTGACATGCAGCAAAGGGCCACATGCCGGAGTCGAACCTGGGCCACTGCGGCAACAGCCTTGTACATGGGGCGCCTGTTCTACCACTAAGCCACCAGCGCCCCACCTCTATATTCACTATGCAGGAAACAGTATGCCACTCAGTTCATAAGTTCTCATATTACAGGCAAACAGTGCACCAAAATATGTCTATGCCATTTTAGCCAACACACAGGCAATACAGTATCAGAATCTTGGTTTATATTTGATCAGCACAGCACTCTCTCTTACTCTCTCTCTCTCTCTCTTGCTCTCTCAATCATATACATATAGAAGATATGTAGCAGGCATATGAAAATGAAAAGCACAATTTATAGTTCAAGCCCTGGAGCCGGTGAAATTTTCACTGAGAGAAAAGCAGGGAGATCTGAGTGCAGGCAAGATGGAGGGAAGCTTACCACAGCTCATTTACACATACTATCCACATTGTTATAAAACAAAACTGGTTGAAATTCACTGAAGTATTCCTTTAATTCATTTACATACATTTTGCCAAAAATGCTAAAAGACACTTTGTGTGTTTTATTCACCTCACTTCTCTGATTTCCAGTTGACCCAGAGTCACACACATCAGCCCAGCAGCATCTGGGACTGGAAACAAATTGATCACTGGCTGTAAACAAACACAGACATACAAACAATAAATTACTGCATGTTTGACTGAATTTCAGTGTGCCATATTAGAGGGTGTCATATTTGGTCCCTGCAACAGTAAACGTTGAGTCAACAGTTGTTTTTGTATTTTGTAAATAATAATAATGACAATAATACATTCTATTTAGAAGACACCTTTCAAAACACCCAAGGTCACCTTACAGAGTAAGCAGACAACATAACTCCTATCTACTGATTTGAAAATCAGCTTCAGCTGAATGTCTTAGTTTTAACTGTATCTCTATCAGGGCTGCAACAGATGACTGTTTTCAGTATTGATTTTTTTCACAGATTCTTTGCTTAATGTATAAAATCTTAGAATATTGTGAAAAATGTTCCTTACAAGTTCCTAGAGCCCAACATGACGTCACAAAACTGTTAATTTTGTCCAAACAAGGGGCTAAAAGCCACTATTTAATTTACAATGATATAAACAGAAATGCAGCAAATGCTCATGTTTTAAATGCTGGAACCAGCGAATGTATGGCATTCATCCTTGAATGACCATTAATCAATGACTCTGACATGTATGCACACATTTGCAGGTACACACCAAGCAGTAGGGCTGACCCAAAAAATTCGAAGCCTCGAAGCTTCGTTCGATGGCACGGGATTCGATTGTGAAAAAATTTTTTTTTTGAAGCTTCTGCACTTTTTTTCCCCGTTTTTTTGGGGGAGGCCTTAAACCCAACACTAACCTCCACCAGTCCGATACTGACAACGAGTGCACTCAGAGCTGGCAGACATGTCCAAGAGGTCATCAGATGTGTGGTTGCACTTTAAAATATGCCCCGACAACTCCCAGAAAGCAGAGTGCCAGATTTGCCAAAAGCAATTGGCATATCACAACTCAACAACAAATTTGGGAAATCACTTGAAAAACGTAAGTAATAACTAGTAGGCCTAATAATATGGTAGTAGTACATGAGCCGCACTTGGCTCAGAATAGCCTATATATCATGTAATTAAAAAAGAAAAAATCTCCGACAAGGAAATAGAAAGCCCGACGCACAATGGAGACCTGCTATTAAAATAAAATAGATTTTATTGATGTAAAATATGCATTTTCCAGTTCCACCGGTCCGCTCTGAGTCTGGTGTCAGAGGCACTTCTGATGCTCTGAGTTGCGCATCTGTTTGATTGTGCTGCAGTGTGTGCCGAGGGTTTTAATTTAGTGTTCAATCAAAAGTTAAACACTACCTATCACCGACCATTAGTGTTTTTTCGTTTGTGAATATTTTTATCTTAATTCTAGTATTGGAAGAAACTATGTTTTCGCCATAATTTTTTTTTTGATTCGAAGGTCAGCCCTACTGAGCAGCATACGTCAGGGCTGAAAAATGAAGCCAAAACAGAAATGCCAAAAACTGCAGTTCCTTTAATGGCCACTTGAGGCTAACTCCAAGAGCAGGTCAGTCCTCACAGATCCCCATGTTAAAATGACCAATTTTACAGCAGAAATACGCAAGTTTATAACCTCAGTTTGGGTCTCTTAGGCTAATTTCACCATTCATAACAATGATGAGGGGTGAATTTTTATATAACTCAACCATTTACATTTAAATTAGGTTTAATCAAAGTTATGCATATTTAAGGGAAGGGCTGCTTTGAGTGACAAGCGGTCTGCATGGCATCACCACAGTCTAACAGACAGATCCACCCCTCACTCCTCTATAGCTCCAGCCTCTCGTCCATATATGGTAACTTCTGGCTCCAAAAAACCAAGGTGGCAAAAGCTGAAATGCTGGACTCAAAGCTTCAAAATAGCATTACACAAATCACCCATACACTCACCTCATTGAAGGCCCAGGTGTGTGTTAAGCTCCAGTCAGAAGCTGCAGAAGCTGAGGTCTGACTCCAGAGACACACTGCCCACTCTCCAGCTGCTGCGACATACAAACCACCTGAGGACCTGGATAGACAGCACACATCCACCAGACAGCCTCCTGCTGGGGCCTGAAAACACACACACACACACACACACACACACACACACACACAGCTGTTCACTCAAAAATGTTATAGATGCTGCAGTTACACACAAAAATAATTGCTGACTTTGATTCAAAACTGCATGTTGCAGCCAAACATCAATCCTTAATTCTACACGTACCTTCAACGTGTGTGTGCATCTCATCATGTGTTCGTCTGCTGTCCCCACCTGCCCACCTGAGCCCTGTGACTGGATGCTGGATACAGCCGGGCGGTCATCATCGGTACATAATGGCTCAGGTGAAGCCTGGATCTGAACAGCGGGGGAGGTGGGCAGCTGGCTTGAAGGGACGGAAGTGAGGGATGGACAGGGAGTCAGAACAGGAGGGGAGAGGGCCTGGGTGGACGGGCTATGAGGGGGAGGCAGGGTGAGAGGTGGGGCACTGGGAGAGGAGGTCAAACGGCGGGCAGCAGGGAAATGGTGTGGGGTGAGTCCTAGGGATGGTAATGCGGGGCTGGAGAGGAGAGCAGAGGAGGGCATGTGCGGGGTTACAAAGGGTGCTGATGCCACAGGGCTCAACAGGAGCTGAGAGTGGACTCTGTGCTGCAGTAAACACTTGTCCTGATTCTCATTGTCCAGCAATCTGTCTCTGGCAGGACTTGTGGTGGGCTCAGAGGATTCATTTGAATCTTTAGCAGCATTCAGATGCTGCACAGGAGACTCACTGTCATCACATAACTGTGCAGCAGTGCAGCTGTTAGAAGGCTCCTCGGAGGATTCCTGTAGAGGGCCATTAAAGGAAAGAGTCTTGATGATAGCTTTGTCTTCTGCTTGGTGGTTTGTAAACCACTGATCCGCTAAAGGGCGGAGCACAGCAGGACAATCTGTTTGTTCTTCTGATGAAATAACAGAAGACTCTTTTATTTGAAGTTCATCTGAACGCCTGATGATATCATCATTCACCTGGCCTGCAGGTCTGTCTGCAAAGTTGATGTGAGGCTGTGGCTTGACAGGGTGGTCAATATCTAGAATCACAGTATGTTGCTCTTTATTTTGATCAACACAGTCAGCAGCACAATCTTGAACCACTGACACAGACTCTGTGGAGGTGGTGTGAGTCTGACACTCAGGGTGAAGGTTTTCAGTCTGCTGCTCTCCGGGGGTTTCTGCAATATTTTGATCTAATAAACATTCAGTTTGCTGGCTTGTCAATTTATTTGTGAGCTTGTGCTCTACTGACATGTTCTGCAGGTCTACAGACTGTGTAGCAGCTTGTTTTGCTTCAGTGGGATGGGGGGAGGTTGTGATTGTGGGCGTGAGGCTGAGCTGAAGTGGAAGAGACATCGCTGGGTCACTGCTGCTGTAATGAGTGCCAAAGCGACGGCTGCTGCTGCTGCGTGTATTGCAAGACGGCGATGTAAAATGTTCGACCCCTGATTCCAGAGCAACTTGACGGAGCTTGTGCAGCTTTAGGGAGGCAAACTGGTCATCGGGGAGATGAAAATCTTGTGGAATGTCGAAGTTCGTGAGGTTGTTGACCAGCAGGCCAGGGGACAGGGAGGGCAGAGGAAGCAGAGATGACTGGGCAGATGGAGAAGAGGGCAAGAGGAGGGACTGCCAGCTTGCTGCACCTGGAGGACACAGAGTGAAAAAAAATGTAATGGAAGGTAATAGTTTCAGAGCACAATTCCATTTTTATTTTTATATTTATCATGATTTCTAGTTCCGATATTCGAGGACTTGCAAAAAAAAAAATCTAACCTAAGAATAGGATCCAAAATGAACGCCCAAGTGAAAATGCGGGCACTGGGGTTAGGGTTGGCCTACCTTTCTGTGCTGCACAGACTATAGAGATTAGCTATGATGCACAAATTTAATGTTACATCGCTTGCACTGCACATTCATTTTGTTAATTTGTTGAAATACTTTAAGTCATCATTCTTATGCCTGGTCGCCATTCTGCCTGTAATGTTAGATTGAGTGATGTCTTGACTGAACGTTATCTGCAGCTGTGCAGATCTATCATTTTTGCTCTATGGATCTGTGAAGATATTAATAGACAGCAGTTACACCACTGCCTCTCGTCCAAAAACGTGTAAAAGTTTCACATGGAAGGGAGTCAATTTGTCTTTGCTGATATATCTTTTTATATTTGTTTCTTTTACAAAGTAAAAAAAAAAAAAAGAAAAAACATGCAATGTTTGTTGAACCAATACTGAGGTCCAGAATCAAGCACTCAAGTTTGCATGCCTATTCCTAATTTCTACCTATCTCTGTTATCTCCTAGACCCTTTTAAATTTTATTTTTAGGTTATAGGACAGGGGGTGGCAGTAAGTGTGGGTTGGTGAGTTGGAAAAAATGGGGTCACATTGTATGGTGGACACACAGTATATATGCTGATGTATAGCCTATACTGTCTAAACTGACAGCACAACTGTCTGTACTAAAGTTTGTAATCACCGTTAACTTGACCTTTTTCTTCTTGCCTCAATCATGGCTATAACATAGATAAAACAGTTTCATTCAGACATCAAATATATTATTTACATTTCTACACAGATTTTGATGCTAAGCTTCCTCCATTCTTACTTAAAAGTCGCTCAGAGGTATCTTTGTTTTGTTCTCCATGTGCAAAACATGACTTCTTTTTTGCCTTCATACAAAATATCATCTATTTGTAAAGAGGACTTTCTATAACCTAAAACGGGGGTGTCCAAACTTTTCTGAATGGGGGCCTGACTAGGTAATGTGAAAATGTCTGCTACCAAGCAGGAAACGTCTGTTGCTTTGTAACCATCCTGTTTATGAAACTCATTAGTTCCACCTGCGTAGTTCCAACTTGGTGCATGTCTACAAACTGTATGACAGTGCTGCAATTGTGAGTTGAACGAAAAAAAATGCAAAGTGAACTTGTTTAATCAACCGATATTGTGTGGTGGGCAATCTATAGTTTATTTTGAGAGACAAGCCGCAGGCTGTTTAAATCTGTCTGCAAGCTGCAATCAGCCCCCGGGCTGGACTTTGGCCATGCTTGACCTTTTCTCAAGCTTTTATGGCAGGTGATTCCTAACTTTCATATGTGATTACCAAGGTATTTTTTTTGTCCACCTGCCACTGTAGCTGGTGGTTTCCAAAATCTACCAGCTGCTCAATTGATTACCATTGTGTTTTTTTGGCTGGTGGTGAATGAAGCAAATCTAGCAGCCACTTGGATATTTTACCAGAATTTGGCAGGTGGCTGGTGCTAATTTTCAACCCTGGTGAGTGTCGTCTTGCTGCACCTACACAGTGTTTGTTTAAAACGATGTTATACAAGCCATAACAATTTCACTCAATCACTAAAATCAAAAACAGAGTGAAAAAGGGAATATAAGTAAGACACTCTGTCATAAACAGGCTTCTTTTAAAACTAGCAGAAACATTTTCTTTTAGTCACTTCAGGGGAACAGCAATATAAGGGTGATGCCAGCCTTTAATTAATTTTACATAATACATCTTACAGTATCCAAACCTGTATAAATGCTAATCATAATCAATATTTTAATCTTAGCAAGACAAACCTGCAGACCAGTGACACGCACAGATTTACAGAGTCACAACACAAAACTTACTTCTACTCATCTGTGAGGATCCGTTAGTCCTGCCACTGTTCTTCAGAAAGATGGGATAGACCTTCTCAAGATGTCCAGAGGTAGAGCTAGACCGATCTCCAGAGGAAGGCTGTGTATCTGTGCCGTGGGTGGACACAGGCAGGGGGTCGTCCTGCACTAGAACAGCTTCTCCTGGAGTGAAGCTGGGCTTTGGTCCATCAGCTACATGGAGAGATGGCGAGGAAGAGCCCAGGGAGCTCGTGGGCTGGAGATTATCTGAGGTTTGTCCAAGGCCCAGTTGATGAGTGTCTAAACTGAGAGAGCTTCGTGGGGTCTGAGGTCTCCCTCTGCCCCTGCCTCTTCTCTTCTTCCTACCTCTTGCTGGACGAGTAGTTGTAACCGTGGGAGAAAAAGAAGCATCCATGTCAATCTGACAAGCTGAGGTTTGATCTGAAATCCCACCGGAGTTCTGACTGTTGAGCTCAGCAGATGTATCAGCAGACTGTGATTCCGTATGAGGACCTGAAGATGCAGGTGTCAGTGATGACGAACCGGCCTGAGTGTGTTGATCTGAATGCTCAAGGTTGTGTGTGTGCCTGTTCAATCCTCTGCCACGGCCACGGCCCTGGCTCCTGCGACGTTGTCCCATGCTCAGCTGGGAGAGTATGACAGCCTGCATGTCAGGCTGGCTCTGAGAAAATGTCATACGTCTTGTGGTTCGTACGTAGTACTCTGCTGGGAAAAGTAGTCCTTCCACTAGGGTACAGGAGTCCAAGAGACTCACACCCTTTACATCATGCTCTCCTCCAGCCATCTCACTTTTTTCTTCTATTATTTCAGCTTTGTTATCATGGCTTTTTTCAGTTTCCATTTTCTCTGCCGCAGTATCTTTATTGCTGCTGTCTTCACACAGCCTTCTATCACTCTGTTCTCTACTATTCCCATCTTGCCCTCCTCCCTTTATCTCCTTTCTTCTTCCATTTTGTGTGCAATCTTGTTCCCTCCCTTCAGTGTGTATAGCAGGGTTCCAGTGTGTGAGCAGCAAAGATGTTGAGTCTGATTCTTTTTTTCCTTCAGCGCTCAGCTCGATCTCTTTTTCCCTTGGTTCCTGTTGGCCCTGTACATCTTTTCCCACGATACCTCCTGTTTCAGTTTGTCCACAAGTGTTCCAGTGTGTAAGCAGCAGAGAGGGAGACTCGGAGTCTGTACCAGAAAATAGCTCTTCACTTTCATTCACAACCTCTCTTTCCTCTGTTTTCACTCTCTCTTCACTTCCTCCTGCTTTAATATTCTCCACACTTTCACTCTGCCCCAGTCCTTCTTCACTGTTGTCGTCTGTGCTCCTGCCAGCCTCAGCACTCCTTTCCAGGCGCAGGCGGCTGCGCCGAGACCTGAGGCGCAGGCCAGGACTGGGTCTGTGATCTCTAGCTGTGTCATGGCTGGGATCTGCAGTTTGTGGGCAAGCAGCATCAGAAGGGAGCAGGAACCTGATCACCTGGCTCTTCCTGGAGTTATCAGAATTTGCTGGACCTGGTAAAAAAAAAAAAAAATCTGAATATTTCAGAATTCTAATTTGCTCTGCTATAACAGGCAAAACATTGACCACTTCTCAGAGTAAAGACAGAGTAATTTCAACCATATTACAAGATGTTTTTTTTGTTTGGGGATGGACAGGCATGTTAGCAATTTATGTGTCAAAACTGCATAAGACAGAGAAAGAAAGAGTAACAGGTACACATACAGGTGCACATATATACAACTTTACATCCAAGAAATATATTGCTCATTTCTTTATCAAATTTGGCACCATGATGAGCAGATTTTCAGTGAATCTTCAGAAACTACTCTACCCTCTACCATCAATGTTATTTGCCAATATCTCCTTCCCCTCTTTGCATAGTCTCCTTAGATATTTCCCAGAAGTTCACAAGCACACTAACAAAAATATTAATTTTATAGTGATCATTGTAGTCAGTATAAGTTTCACTAATTAGAAGGTAGAGCAAATGCCAACAACCAGATCTCTGACATGCTGTGAGCAGTATAATAGATATATACAATAGATGACTTTATGGTATAACTAAAATAGTTATATTTGTATTGCACAGAGTTACATGATGCTATATACGTATATTTGGTAAATAAATCTATTCCCTAATTCACTTTTACATATTTTACAACATACAATCTAATCTGAGGAACCATCTTCCTGTTTCGGTCAGGGAGGCAGACAGCTTCTCCACATTTAAGACTAGACTTAAGACTTTCCTCTTTGATAAAGCTTATAGTTAGGGCCGGCTCAGGCTTGTTTTGGACCAGCCCCTAGTTAAGCTGACTTAGGCCTAGTCTGCTGGGGGACCTCCTTTAATACACTGATCCCCTTCTCTCCTTCACGTCCTATTACTGCATATCGCTAACACGACTCTACTGCACGTCACTAATTCGGCTTCTTCTCCGGAGCCTTTGTGCTCCACTGTCTCGCAGGTTCCCTCATATCGCAGCCTTGCCTGGATCGTGTGTTGTGGTTGTATTGCTGCCGTGGTCCTGCCTGATGCTTCCTGCTGCTGCTATTATTAGTCATACTTCTACTGTTATTATACACATATGAATATTATTGTCACATACATATACTATTACATATTAATGTATACTTACAATATATGCTACCACAATTGCTGTTATTATTAGTATAATATTATTATTAAAATCAATTTTATTGTAGCTATCGTCATTAGTGTCTGCCCTGCATCTCTCTCTGTCTCTCTTTATGTATCATTTTGTCATAAGGATTACTGCACATTTATTAGGCTGATCTGTTCTGTATGACATCTATTGCACTGCTGTCCGTCCTGGAAGAGGGATCCCTCCTCAGTTGCTCTTCCTGAGGTTTCTACCATTTTTTTTTCCCCCGCTCAAGGTTTTTTTATGGGGAGTTTTTTCTTATCCACTGTGAGTGTTCAAAGGACAGAGGATGTCGTATGCTGTAAAGCCCTCTGAGGCAAATTGTGATTTGTGATATTGGGCTTTATAAATAAAATTGAATTGAATCAATGAATAATACTGCAGCTGATTGGGACAGACTCACCTTCAGTGTGTCCCTGGCACTGAGCTTCACTTGTGGCTGTCCCATTGGTGGTGTTTGGTATCAATGGAGATGGGTTGAGACAGGGGTTAGATGTCACCTCTGGGTCTCTCTGGTCCTGCTGGTTCTGCTGATCAATAGTACTCCTCACATGTCTCCGCACTGCATCCAAACGCTCAGCACGCTGTGAGCAGATCAACATGTGTGTGTGAGACAGAGAATCCCTAAACTGGGCTTATACAACTAAAATGAAGGAGTGATTCTTACCTGTAGTCTCTCAGCTGTCCTGAGGTACTCCCTTTGTAACAGTGCCAACTTCCTACGAAGCTGAAATATTAACATGTCAGCAGCTGTCAGAAGACATTGTATTCAAAGCTCACTGTAGCACTTTGTGGCTTTATGTTCAGTTACCTTCTCCTTGTCATCATAGTGCAGTGTGGTCTTCAGCTGCTGCTCACACTGCATTATACCTCCACGTATCTCTCCATCCTGCTCCCTGGGCCCAAACATATTCAGGACACACACGACTAAAAGTTAGATTTAGCTATGCCGTGGCTAATATGACATTGGTTTAGTTGGTGTGTCTTCGTTTATTTGTTAGAGAACGTTAGCTTAACGTAGCTAGAAAGCTAACGGTACAGGTAAACGACAGTAAACGTTACTTTCGTCATGTTCTTTGCTGAGAGCACACCTAAACATTAACCTTAAGATTTAACGGAGAGGACAGTAAGTGTATCCACACACAAACGCACTTAGTTCGTTGAAATGACCATTTGTACATTAATTATAACGTTAGTTAATTTGGCAGACTTACAGAGGAGCCGCCGGTGTGTCCATGGAAAGTTTATTTTGATGTTCGATGATGCAGGTATCGATTTAGCGCCAATTTCCCGCGACTGCCTCAAACAGGCCTGAGCAGTGGAGCTCCGATTACTCGATCAGTTCAGTCAGAGGACGCAGGTAAATGGAAAAATTTGCTCATTTTATGACCTTAAAGTTTAGATATTCACTAAAAAATACTGTAGCACTCCTCTTATAATTTTACGTATAAAACGCGCTTGGTTTAGGACGTCAAAGATGTAAAAATTGCTATAGACCGTTTCAAACCGGACAACATAAACATTCTGGGTCCCTTTATATTTCCTGTTTGAATGTATGTTTTTTTTTTTTTGATTTAACAGTTTTTATTGATCATGTTGCACATCATTTACAAATGCACACAGTAGCCATCGTGCAATTTCAGAGTGCATTCAACAAAATAAGCCAGGGGGTCATGACACAGAAAGGATTTAAAAAAAGAAAAAAAAATAAATAAATAAAATAGAAAATAAAAGGAAAAACAAGTATTCAAGGCATATTCAGACCAAAGTCCAGCAGTCAGTCCAAGCATCAGATCAAGCATTACCTCACAATCCATTACCACATAAACTGTAATCAAATACAGATTTTAAGTTTGACACAAACATTAACTGTTTGTAAGGCATTATTATTGGTAGAGGATTTAATAGATTCTAAGTACTGTTCAAACTCTTTGTAAAAAACAGTGAACAGGGGTCTTCTATCTAAAAATTTGCACTTGTGTATATGAAATTTGGTTAGAATGATCAGTAGATTTATCATATACGCTTTTTCATGCAATTTCCTATCATTGGGGTAAAAATCAAATAAAACATGCTCATACAATAATACAAAGTCCTTGTAAACCATGTCATTTATAAATTTAACAACATCTTTCCATAATTTACTAGAGAAATGACATTTCCAAAACAGATGAGACACAGTTTCTGGATGGACTGCACACAGAGAACAATTTAAAGATCTGGTTTAAACTTTTTGAGAAAATGTTTAACTGGATACATTTTGTGCAAAATTTTAAAAGAAATCTCCTTAATCTTATTAGTAATTAAATATTTATGGGGCAATGCCCACACTTTAATCCAGGGAATGTTACTAACAAAATTACTCCAATAAGTACTGTTTGAATGTATGTTAATGCAGAAGCTGACAGGAAGTAAACAGGGACCAAAGTTGTTGCCCTAGCAACAGAATAGCGATGAAACGGTCCATTTATGAAGGAGGACATTTGACTATTAACTTTTTCAAACTGATATTAACCATCAAACTTGACAGATGCATTGAGAGTCCGACACAAACAAGCTAATGTTAGCTCAATATTTTTACGGAGCGCCATTTTGGTCCTTTTAGAAAAGTTCTATGGTCTATTTTCTTTCTTTTTAGGGGTAGGAAATCCTTAAGAATTTACCCACAATTAAACACAAGTGATTCAAAATGTTTTTAAGTTACTAGTTGGTAAAATGTATATTTGCTTTCTATGCTCTCTAAAGTCACATGGATAATAATATCTCAAGACAGATTATGCAATTTACATTTTTACATTGTAAAGGAAGAAAAAAAATGTTTTTTTCTTTTTTTTTACTGATGGATTTCCAGATTGCATGGATAAAGACATAAGACATATTTTAAAGCATTTGCCACGCTACACAGATGTATCTGTAAAACCATGGCCCAGTAATTTTATTGAATTTCGGCTGTCAGATAAGATCAAATCTTGACAATGAGTTGCTCAAAAGAAAGGAAGGATTCCGAAATCAACATTATCTAGTCTTGGTTTTGAGCCGGATCAAACCTTATGTATGTGTTGTTCAAAACTTTTAGTAGGATTGGGATACCTTTGATCCACATAATCAGGATTATCCTTATCCCAGCAGAAGGCTGGACTCAGGGTGGATTTCAGGAACAACATGTAATAAACTTTTAAAGTGGTCAAATATATGCATGTAGTCTACTTATTTTTGCAATTGATTTTTTAACTTTTACAGTGATAAAGTAGATATTAGGCTTCCTATGAGGCCTTCCAGTTCACTAAAGTAAACCAATAAATAAAAGGTTGTCTCCATACAATAATCCCACAAATAGCTGACATTTTTGTAGGTGACTAGTCAATGTTGCAAATGCTAGCACTTAAATGTAATTCCAATATTTCTTTATTTTTGTGTAAATAAACATGTGTTTGTCTGAATCCCCCTTATTAAACCAAAACAATGCAGTATGGATAAACCTAGTCAGTCAGTTAATCGCATATACTTTTAATTGTAGTAAGAGATTTGCTTGTTTTTATGAATGTATCATGTAAAACCAGAATATGCCAGTGACTCTTATTCGCAATTAGAAAGGCAATTTGTTTTCCATCAGTGTGAAGGAGTTACAGAGACATGTTTGTCGCCTAAAAGACATGACAGAGACACTGCCAGAAAAGACTGTTTTCTGATGGAACTCACATGCATACTTTATCTTGATCATAAGTAATGTGCATGCAACCATGTTTGCTGAAAACTATCAGAAGCACTAACAAGACTCTTGGAAGATATATATGACAGTTTTTAATGTCAAAATAGTTGCTCCAATATATTGACAGGATTCCAAAAATATGTACATAGATGCAAATACATAGGCTACAAATAAACAAGGTGGGGTAGACCCAGCTTTCTGAACCAATTAGAGTTTACAACAGTCTTAAATGTGAAGTTGTTTGGGACTGGTGGGATAAAATAAGGAAATCAGGCTACAGTCTTATAAATGTAAACTCTACTCATTTGGCACTCTGGGTAGGCCAAAACAATTTTTAAAGCTGTTGTAATATTTCAACTCAACTGGACTCAGGTGTGGCATCTAGACAACTACAACATCTAGACTATAACTACAACTACAATCTTATACAGAAAGGAGGATATACAGAGGACTATTCATTACAAATCAGATATAGAGGTAAATATGGCAGGTCACAAAAGATAAACTCTCTGAAACTGTGTACGTATGCAGGTATTTGTTTTTTCCTCCGACAGCATAAGCCAAAGTAGTGTGTGGTCTTTATTTGCAGTCTGTTGTTCACATTTGCATACAAAAAACATGTTTCTAGTTTGGTGACACTGTCCTGCTTCTCAGACATCCACAGGTGAGGTACTTCATGACAGTCATGCTGACGTGCATCAGAGGACCCAAGTTAAAGAGCATGTGGTAGAAGGCATGGACAGACAGGCCTCCAGTTTCATCAGCATATTTCAACGCTACGATTGGCGTGTACAAGGGGTTGGTCAGATTACGGAAACGGGGTCTGCTTGCTTCAATCACTTTCTTGGTACACTGTAGAGGATGGACAAAAAAGACACAAGTTTGACCCACAGCATTAATCACTGATGCGGACAGACAGATGAGACACAGTGAGTCACAGACTGCCTCTGAACTTACTCTGGCAACGTCATCAGGCGTTTGTCCCAGGGTCTCAAAGATGTCAACAGAGGAAGGAAGATACACGTTCTTGAAGTAATGCACCGTATCTGGATCAGCACCAGGATACTCCTTCTGCCTCACATCCTGAATCATCTTTGCTTCAAATTCTGTGTGCACCGGTCCTGGCTCAATGAGTGACAGTCTGAGGACAGAGACACACAACAAAGAGTTAACATGAGAAGACTGGAACTCAACAACAAAGAAGTGTTAGATGAAGGAAGACCACTATGAGCAAATGGCTAACACTATTGCTAAAATAATTTATTGATTAATAGCGCAACAGAAAATTAATCAGCAATAGTTCATTAACGCCATCAGCATTTGGGTGTACACTGCCTGAATTAAAACAAATACACTATTTTTTGTAAAGCCCTCACAGTTAACTGGAATATTATTTTTGTTTGGAAATGACCGCAATGACCAAAAGACTAGAGTCCAATCTATAGATGCATATCTCTTCATAGTGGCAGAGCAGACAGCCTGATAATTCGACCGAGGCTAATTTTGTTTTTACTTACGGGCAGTGCCTCAAATAATCCACACAGGCTAAAAACAGTGGGTGGTAGAAGATTTTAAGGTAATTACAAATAATTTACCAAATAAAAATAACATTTCGTAGGTTACAGCTAGAAAAATCCACCAATAACGTCTCATCAAAGCGCTGTCATCAGGCCAAAATTAAATTTGTCTGATGCTTCAATTTATGACCACACACATGTAAAACTAATGACATTACCATCCACCTCATTTATACTTTGTGTTTTGTGCTAATTAGCAAATCTTTGGGTGCTAACGTTATGTGTACATATGATGTACGCTACCATTTCAAAACAATACAACACTATATACAGTACAAATTTAATGTTTGCTCCATATTTACAGTTTGACTGTTTAGCCACTGTTAAATACAAGAAATGACTCTAAAGAGTGCTGACTTGTTTTTAAACCATAGATATTTAATTGTAACTAGTGTAGATACCAGACCCCAAGATGGCGCCTATTCAGTCCTTTGGAACTGCTTGTCTGGCACATACGCCATAAAGGTTTCCTGCCTCCAGGTTTACTTCTGCCAAGATGCAGCCCACTGAATATGCACGTTTTTGTTTCTCCCACTGTCTCCGCCCCATAGTTCCTGCTCGGCTCATGGAGTTTACATTGTGATGATATCGATTTTTTAATTGCTTTTCTGGGCTCAAGTAAGGTTTACAAGTATAAAACATCCATGAATCAAAATGTCACAATAGAAAGTGTCACATTAACCTTGTTTTCAGTTCGAGGTGTCCTTTCAGCAGTTTTACAGACTTCTCTTTTACAGTGGTGGTCGATGGGAAAAAAATGTTTTTTGGGCAACAGCAGCCATAAGCGGCCACTGGGAAAAATTGGAAGCAAGGCTGAACGGCATAACTAGGAGGGGCTTTGGTTTCTGCTATGTCTGTTTAGTAATGACGGAGGTAGCATCAGTGACACTCACGTGACGTTAAACTTCAAGAGCTGCACAGCCAAACTCTCACAGAAGCCCTCCATTGCAAACTTGGAAGCTGCATA